TCATTCAAGTTCAAACATATTCTAAAAGACCTACATTTTTGTACTCCCTCCCAATGCGTCTTGTGATTTTGATGTCCTATTTTACTGTTTATTGTAATTATAGTCACTTTTACAATTGTTTCTATTGTTTTTTTAATTGACGTATTGGCTTATTCAATCCTTGCTAAAAATTTGCTTTTCCTATTGTGATTTTTCCTTTCCTTTAGATTCTTGCTTCTTTTCTATCTAGAGAAGACCTTTCAATATTTCTTTTAGGGTAGTGTTAGTATTGTTGAATTCTTTTAGTTTTTCCTAGTCTGAGAAATTCTTTGTCTCTTCTTCTATTCTCAATGATAATCTTGCTGAGTAGAGTGTACTAGGTTGCAGGTTTTTCCCTTTCAGGACTTTGAATATATCATGCCACTCCCTTCTGGCCTGCAAATTTTCTGCAGAGAAGTCAGCTGATTTGGGGGTTCCCTTGTAAATGACTATTTTTCTCTTGGTGCCTTTAGAATCCTCTCTTTAACTTAGGCCATTTTAATTATATGTGAGTCTGTTTGGGTTCATCTTATTTATCTTATTTGGGACCCTCTGTGCTTCCTGTACCTGGATATCTGTTTCCCTCTTTAGGTTTGGGACATTTTCAGCCATGATTCCTTGAAATACATTTTTGATCCCCCCTTCCTTCTGGAACCCCTATTATGCATAGGTCAGCACATTTTATATTATCCCATAGTACTCGTATGTTGCTTTCATTTTTTATTTGACATTCTGCCTGCTGTTCTGACTGGGTGATTTCCACTTTTCTGTCTTTCAAATCACTTATTTGTTTTTCTGCATTAGTCAGGTAGTCATTGCTTCTAGGTCACTTTTGATCTTGGCAAATGAATTATCAATTTTGGGGGGTTAATCTTTATAAGTTCTGGCTCCTTTTTACAGTGATCTGTGCGTTTCTATCAATAATCTTTCTTAATTCCATTAGCCTTTTTACTGCCACCTTTTTGAACTCAGGATCTGGTAGACTGGTGAGTACTGTTTCATTATTTGTTCTTTCAGGGGATTTCTCTTGCTCTGTTAATTGGGAACAGTTCCTCTGACTTCTCCTTTCACTTAACTTTCTCTGCCTCTAGGAATTTAGAAGAAACAGTTATCTACTGGGTCTCGAAGGGGCTGCTTTTATGTGGGAGCATCTCTGTTTATCCTGTGTGTATCTGGTGTCTTTGGTGCGAGGGCTGGTTTTGGAATAGACACCAGCCGCATCTATCCTCGGCGTGCTGGCTGTCACCTGATTGACAGGGAGTGTGGCTGGTGCTGCCATATCTAGAGCCTGTGTGGATTGTGAGGCCGGGCTTCCTCTGTGCTCTGTGTCACCGCCCTGTCAGGGGCAGGCTCTGCTCCCCAGTTGCTGGAGTAGAAGCCTGGAGAGTCGGGTTCGGTGAGACTCTGTTACCCTTGAGTGCGTGTCCTGTCCTGAAGGAGATGACTGCAGAAGCCGGTGAGCCCTGGGCGGTCGCCGCCTGGGCAGGCTTTCAGGACTCTGCTCAGAAGGAGCCCAAGGGTGTGTCCATCCGAGATCTAGGGCAATGCTGTGGTGTGGAGCGGGCTGGGGCTGGGGCTGGGGCTTGGGGTCAGGGCGTTGTGGCTGCAGGAACTGAGGTGTCTGTGCTGCCGCCAGAGATCTGGGCTGCCTCTTTGGAGAACCTGTCTGCCCTAGGCCTGGGGCTGAGCTGCGAGGTGGCCTGGGTGGGCTCAGGGCACTGTGGCTGGGAGATGCATCGCTTTGTGCCCCCAGGTGCCCTGGCCGTGGCCACCGCCGCCCTGCCCAGACCACACCCCAGGCCCTGCAGGCTGTCTCTGAGTGCAGACCCTTTTCCTGAGGCCAGGTTAGCCCAGATCTCACACCAGGCTGTGGTGTGGAGTGAGCAGGGCGGGGTTGTTCGTTTCATATGTGCTGGGGAGCGTGGTGAAGTGGCAGCCACCAGTGCAGGGGTCTCTCCAGCCTCCTTGTCCACAAGCCAGCAGGCGCGCACCCTCGCGAGTAGAGTCTTGGCTTCTCCAGCCCGTCTGTCTTTCCCAGCAGCTAAGGGGGCTGTCTCCTCTGCGTAGGACCCCAGGGCCAGGATGCCCAGTGTGTGGCTTGACCTGCTCACCCTTCAGGGTGAGTGAGGGTCCACCCATCCGGACCTTCCCTTCCTTTCAGGTCCCTCCCAGGGGCACAGGTTCTGACACTATGCCTTTGTTCTGTCCTACCTGGTTACATGGAGAGCTTGCCTGCAGCTCTGGTTGTATTCCTATACATGTATATATGTATTCTGCCAGATTCCAGTTAATTTTCCATGAGAATTGTTCCAGGTGTACATGTTATTTTTCATTGTTGGTTTTTGGGTGGGGTAGGTGAGCTCCATGTCCTCCTATTTGGCCATCTTGAGCCCCCTCTGATCTGGT